CCTCTCATTTAATTATTAGATAATCAACACACTAATCACTTCAAAATTACAAAAATTATTTTAAATTTTTTATTTACTTATAGCTGACCATATAATGTGTTGACTATTTAACGTGTAGATGTTATTGTTGTGGTTATATTTAAATTAACTTCTTTTGGAAAATAAAAAAAACGTATTTGAAATTCCTAACTAAATAATAAATAATTCACAAAAAAAGATACATACCAAAATATACATTACATCCAATATGATAAACACAATTTATAAAAAATAAATATTTCAGTTCCTTTAATTATAATTTGCAAAAATGATTAACCATTATATGCATACGAATAACTCGCAATAATTTATTTATATACCTGTGCAAATGCACAGGTCAAATACTAGTATTTACTGAAGTTGCGCTCGACCAGCTTTTACTAAAGAACGAGGATATTAATGGAGTTTTCCCTTTTACTACAATTTTAACATCTATATTGTATGTATAAAAACAAATATATTTATCAATATAACAATAATAAAATTATTTTTAATATTAATTAAAAAAATAAAATTATTTATCAACTAATATATTTATATTTTAAGTACTTATATGATAATAGTTATAAAAATTACTATAATATAACACATATAAGTCAAAAGTAACAAGTATCATTTTAAAATATATAGTTTTTCTCATTAATTTGAAATTTTAAAAATAATTTTTTAACAACCACTCGTGTAATACACGAGTGTTATACTAGTTAACAATTAAATGTAAACTTGAGTTGGGAAATTGGGCCTCTTTACGAATAAGTTCAATTCGTCTGGCCCATTTAAAAATCATAAAATATGGGATAATGTAAGTTGGTTTTATTACAACTAAATCGGTCCAACTAATTCATATTCAAAATCTTGTTTGCTTAAATAAATGAATAGATAAAATTATTGCTGCACACTCCAAATAACAAATGCGGCCGGTTGCTTGTTTATTTATTTAGTTGGGCTGGACTATGGGCTGGGCTAAGGGTTGGGCTAAGAGTAAAATAAAAAAAAAAATTGAAGTTAGTAGGTGTAAAAAAAAAAAATGGGCCTGGGCTTAAGCTTAATAAAGAAAATAATATCTAAACAATGAAAATAAAAATAAATAAATAAAGAAAACTTCCTAGTTCACGGTTCCGTCTACACACTCGACTGACTCGTCTAATCAACTTTGGTATCAAATCTCGTTATCTTATGAAATTACTAGCCCTAGGCAACGACACGGTCTGTTACCCGAATTTTTCCTTATTTTTAATCT